TTTTGATTCTCCATCCCCAATCTGTTGGTGTTCTACTTTGTAATTCTAAACTTCGATCTTCAAATTTCTTGTCCTCCTTTCCTTTCATCCATGTTTCAGAGATCTAATTTCTTCCCACTCCTCCTATTTCTTTCCACTATGTTCTCGTTTCTTTCTTTTTCTCATCCTCTAAATTTTGCTCCATCCCTCCTTGTTTTCACACCAATCTCGATCTACAACTATATCTCCTAAACACGTTTTGACGCGGACTTGCCAGAAGGTGCGTAGAGCTCTGGCTCGGGTGTTTACACCACCACCTTCTACTTGTGTGCCCTTGTTGGCACGGATGCCTCTGGTTTTCCCATCGGCTTCCCCATTAGTTTCTCTTGTGATGTGGTGGCGGATCATCTGGTGCTGGTTCAAGGATGATGTAGCTATGTGTTTTCTCCTTCCTGGGAATTTGTTTGATCGGAATTTAGGCTGCAAGATGATAGAGAATCTGAGGTGTTATGGTGATGTCAGTGGTGTAAATTACTTAGGTTTTTGGTTTGTATGGTTTCAAGGTCTCTGGTCATGCTGTTCTCTTGTTCTGACTAGGTGTATCTAGACCATTATGTATTTGTGCTTTGTTGGAATGGAAATCTTTCCCTTGACCAAACAAAAAAAAAAAAATATATTGTACAACCGGGTTGCCACCCATATGTGAACCCCAACCCAAAACGAAAAACAAATAAACCAAGGGTGAAATGAAAGACGTGTCGGAAGTGTCAACAACGTCAACGGAAGCAATGATATTCATTAATGTAGTTGTTAGTGTCATTCATATTCGGTAGAGGTTAATATGTTATTGATATTTAGTAGATATTGTTGATATGACGTCTATATTTAGCACCAATACCTCAATATAACATTTGATATTCGGTTGAGATATCATCATTCATGTTGTTCAAGCCATTTCATGTATTATAACACATCACTTTCAACCCGCTTGTACCGTACCTTAATTTTAATATTTCAGCTGTGTAATTTTAACCAGACGGCTAAAAGGTAAGAAAATAGGACGTTGAACTTTGAAAGTTGAGTTGCAGTCCACGACATTTTAAACGTGTGGTCATCATTGCGGAGGATTCCGTGGTTGTTGACGTTACATATATAACTCAACATTCCCTGGGATTTGTCAAAACAGTAGAATTTCCAAAACATGTTTGGTACACTGTCCTTTCCAGTCCACGTTTTCTATCGAATGTCCTTTTTGCATAGCACACTATTTGCTTTCTGTGAAAATGCTATTTGCTCGAATTCCAAATGTCTGCAGGAAAAAAGAGGTATGCACTATGCAGAAGGTTTGGGCCAAATAAGATTTTAATTGTTTATTCCTTTATTCAAGCGATATTCTAATTTAATTAGTCAAAAGAAATAGAAGCACACGACAAGAAAGACTGAAGTTTGGAGAACTATTTCAACAATTTTTACGTTGTAAAGCAAAACCACAGCGGAGGATGAGGGGACTCACAATCTCCTGCAAGTTAACAAAAATAAAGAAAATGGAAATTTGAAAGTTGGAAATTAGTAGCTTTTAAGTTTAAGCTCCAGATATAGTAATACTACTCGAGTAGCCACGCCTTGAATCCGAAGCAGTACTGGAATAAATGTTATGGTAATGTATGGACTCGACTAGACTCTTTGAAAACCGGTCGAGGAACTGTGGGATAGGAGGTATGCCGAGATCTATGACTCCTTCCAGAAAGTTGATCAACTTGCCCCATTGTCCGCCTATCGTTCTCGCATCTTGAATGCATCAACAAAGATACTTTGCATGCTCTCATCACTTCTTCTTTGTTTGCATTACCTTCTAACCTGCAATCCAACAAGGTATCGACATCTCTCTCCCTTTCGTTAATACATTTTGCAACGCGAGTGGGGAAGTAGTTTTGCAACCCATCATCCAAAAGATCTCTGTTTCTCCTTCCTGATATGATCTCAAAACACAACATTCCGTAGCTAAAGACATCGGCTTTTGCTGTGATAGCTTCTCCTGATATCCATTCCGGAGCAATATACCCTCTTGTCCCTTGCATGGTTGTAATTATCCGGCTGAAGTCTCTGCTCACGAGCTTTGCAAGACCAAAATCAGCTATTTTGGGGCATATTCTGCCATCCAACAGAATGTTTTCAGGTTTGATGTCACAGTGTATGATGCATTCTCTGCAACTATGATGAAGATATGCAAGTCCTCTTGCAGTCCCAACAGCAATGTGATATTCAGTTTTCCAATTCAAGACGATCGGACTCTTCTGGAACAAAAGAGATTCTAGAGAACCATTTGGCATGTAATCATAAACCAAGAATCTTTTTGAAGTTTCTGCACAAAATCCGTGGTGTGGAGCAAAAAATAATCACAAGACGACACGTGGATTTTTTAGTAAAAGAGGACCAAACTACCCTTGAGGCACACCGAGATTCCTACACGAGCAGCTCAAAAATGCTCCAAAGAGGTACCAATTCAATATTCGTCTCATCAAATTCCCTTTTTTGCAAAGTAACCTCCAAAAAATTAATTGGTAAAATTAATAGATTAATTACCCAATTAATCCATTAATTACCTATTAAATTATACAATTTAACCTAAAAATTGTTAAAGCTTGTTCAAGGAATTGGTATGCTTAAACTTTCTGAGTTGTAACATTGCTAGTTCTTTTTGCAATTGTGTCAAACTCAGGGGGAGTATTCTGAAGTATACTTGCTTGATCTTAATGCACTCTTTTTCCCTACAATTAGGAGCATTTTTTCTCACTAGGTTTTTGCTACCTAACAAGGTTTTGACAAGGCACCCACCTTGGGTTGATCATATCCCTGATGACGTCATGTAGACTATTCATTTGACTTTGCATTACTCACGCATTTTTCCTTAGACTATGGATTTTGTCTCTACTCGGGTTTTTACCATAGCCATAGGGTTTTTTGTGAGACTTAGTTCGTTATGCAAGTTCCTACCTTATTTGAGAATAGCGTGGTCCCATAATTAGTACTGACAAGTAGACTTCCTCAACCTCTACTTGATGCCGAATCTACTTGAGTATTTACACACTCAAGGGGAAGTGTTATAAACTTCTTGTTTAAGTGTGATTGTGTAAATCCTAAATTAGATTTGATTCTAGTTATTTTCCCTATTAGGACGTGTATTCCTTGTAGGAGAAGGATTTATTCACTCTCTTATTACTATAAATAAAGGCACTATATAGGGGAAATAATAACATCCTCTACACAACCCTACAAACACATATCTCTCTATATTCTCTCTATGCCGCCGACCCACTTCCCCTGTCAGTTAAATATAGGCCACAACAATAATCAAATTAAGGGTGATTATTTTCCACTGTTATAGAGAAAATACCCAAAATTACTCTCTTGCTAATGCATAGCTCCACCATAATAGGAAATGCAGAGCTCCGCCATAATAGGATGCGACCTTGAAATTTTTTTCAGCGTGTCAGGAACACGGCTCGGTACATCTATTGTCATAATAAAAATAATTAATTTTTTTTAAGTATTTAACCACTTGTCTAATATTTGTCAATTGTCACGTACTAGCTAACAAATGATTAATTATCACTAGAAAATAATGAATAAAATAGGAAGAATAATTTTCCCGTTGAATAATACTTGCATTCTCTGGCGGATGAGCTCATTCCTCCCCTTGTAAATAATGTGTCTTCACCGTAATAAATTTATATTCGGAACTGTTCAATGCCTTAATCTTCGTTTTTGTTCAAAAAAAAAAAAGTCTTAATCTTCATTTGAAGATAATTTTTACAAAAAAAATCGTTTAATTTTCCAAATGTGTCAAATAAATTAACGATTCATTATTAATGTTACTTGGTACATTTACCATTGATTTATTGAATGTTCAGCTATAAATTTTGAGTGTAAACAGAATTTCCCTAACACTTATATCACGATTTGATCATGTTTGCGACCAACTTATTATTGTGGTTAACAAGTGTATCCATGAATTAGCTTGTTTCGTTTTTTATTTTTGGTTATATGTTGTTTATTGGGATGAGATTTGTTGTCAAAGGATTTGTATTTGTTGATGAATAATTATGTTTAATGTAATTCTTAGATATTAATGCAATCTCATAGCCCTTTTTAGAATTGTTCTTCGTGAATAAAACATAAAGTAAACGTTCCTCTCGTTTTGTTTTTGGGCAACCATTTCTACTTGATGAAAAACAGGACAAAAATATCAATACAATCCTCGATGAGAAAAACAAAAAATCACGTGAAAACTTATGAAATAGGACAAGTTAAACTATAAACGAATAAAAAACGTGGAGAATATCCATAAACCGCGTAACAGAAATCACACTGCCACGTCAAGATATTTTCTGGTAGTGTGAATGCTCAGTAGGGCGCAGAAACAATTAAACTCAGGCTAATATAATAAATCCACGTGCTTAAATTGGATGCAAAATTCTATCTTAGCGGCTTTCTTTCTGACTAATAAATATGGCTGATGTAACTTGGATGACGAGTAGAGTAGCAGTAGTACGCGTTGACTCTACTCTTTGATTTCCTTGCTAGTCACTAGACAGTAAAGACTTCATCTTCCTTCTGCACTTTTCTCACCAGACAGACTTATATTATATCTCTGTGTGTGTGTGTGTGTGTGTGTGTCTCATATATATAATATATGTATTTAGTACTATTTGTGGCCAACTTGCCAGAGAATGGATCGGAATCATGCAAATGAATCTTCTTCAACCAAAGTTGAAAGGAGGGTTGTTGAGAAGAACAGGAGAAATCGTATGAAACTTCTTTACTCAACCTCTACTCCCTCCTCCCTAAACAAACTTTTAAGGTCTCTCTCTCTGTCAATGCCAGAAATACTCTCTTGTTACACCAGATATCTTTGTCGGACTGAGGATCTGAGACATTGAAATTCATAGCTAATACTGAATGTGGGTGTTTGTTGTGAATGCAGGAGCCACTAAGTCAGACAGATCAAATAGATGAAGCCATAAACTACAAAAAGCCAAAGAGTCGAAGCTGCAGAAGCTAAAGGAGAAGAAGGAGAGCTTAATGCGCACTAGAAAAAGATCATATGCTACAGCATGCGTAAATGTTGAGAGCGCAAAGGCACCCCACATCAAAATCCATGAGATAGACTCCACACTAGAGGTAGTACTGATAAGTGGCTTAGAAAATCATCAGTTCATTTTCTACGACATCATTCGCCTGCTTGACGAAGAACATGCCAACGTTGTGCATGCTAACTTTTCAACTTTGGGAGACTCAACATTTCACATAGTACGTGCAGAAGTACGTAAAACTAGCTAAATTTTTCTCTGTTTGTTTCTCAAGAAAATATTTGATATTAATCAGTACTTTGGGATATTAATTTGGACTATGAATTGTCTTTCTTTCATGTAGATAGGCAAATCTATGTCTGAGTTTGGGGCTGCAAGAATAACTGAAAAACTTACAGATTTGTCAATGGATCCACCAGCGACCAAGAATCACAGCAAGAATACATTTAAGACTTCGAATTCCAGTCTCTGACGATATGGAATTAGTTCTGAGAAGTACTCCACCGGAAAGAAATACATGAAAAAATGGGGGCTTTTAATTCTTTTATGCAATTAAGGATATTAGGGAGTGAAATGAGGCTAAATCACTCGATGGACCAGCATAGATTGACTATTAATTAGTATGAAATTACGGAGATCTGTATTGTCAATAATCGGTGATTATTTTAGACAGTTCAGAGATAAGACCCAAAATTACTCATCTTTAGCTTTCTTCCAGTCTACCTCTTAATTGGTTGTCTGGGTTTGTTCATTTTTTTCTTCTCACTGTAAAATTTAGGACCATGTATTTACAAGAGAAAATATGGAAGGTAGAAGAATTTGTAGGATGTGTCATTTCAAAAGAGTATGGGATACGTGCGTTTTCAGGATTGTTATCTTCCACAACAGTATATGAGTTGTCTAAGAGCCGGCGGCGAGAAGATTGTATGTGGTGGTGCAAACATTGTCGAGTTTACTCAATGCGGCAACGATGTCGTTGGAAGTGGAGGACGTAAGCACGGTTAATGAGTTGAGGCAACTACTTTTGAGCAGGAAAATTCTCCCAACGGATGATTATTTGTTTATACACAATCAGAGGATCATGCGTGACAATTGCAGCCTCAGATGGCATGGTGTTGGTGATGGAGATTTCCTGTATGTATTTAAAGGGACTGTTTATCACAGCGGATAAAACAATTAGTTTTAGTCTTATCACTAAAAGCCTCTTATCTAATATTTGTCAATTGTCACGTACTATCTAACATATGATTAATTATCACTAGAAGATAATGAATAAAATAGAATAATTTTCTCGTTGAATAATACTTGTATTCTCTACTCTTTTGAGGATGAGTTCATTTCTCCATTTATAAATAATGTGTCATTACCGTAATTTATAATTGGAACCGTTTAATGTTTTGATCTTTATTTTTGTTCAAAAAAAAAAGTCTTAATCTTCATTTGAAGATAATTCTTACAAAAAATCATACAAAACGGAAATCGTTTAATTTTCCAAATGTATTAAATAAATTAATAGTTCGTTTTTAATGTTACTTGGTACCTTTACCATTCATTTATGAAAGTTCAGCTATAAATTTTGAGTATAAATAGAATTTCCTAACAATTATATCACAATTTGACCATGTTCGCAACCAACTTCTTATTGCGGTTAACAGCTGTAGCCATGAGCTAGCTAATTGGACTCGAGATTAACAACTTGGGTCGATGAAGTTGGTCACGAGGGGGAGTTTGTGCCGGGTTGTTTGATCTAAAGGCAACATACCTAATTACCGGTCATGTAATCCTACAACAAGACAAACTTCTCACCCGTTCTGGTGAGAGTTCTTCTCTCTCTATGAGAACTTTTTGCATTGTTGGTGTGTGAGCTTTCCCGATCCGATTTTTGTTCAGCCGTCGGCCCTAGGCATGGCCGGGGTCGGCGACAACCTCTAGTTCATTTCCCTTCTATTTTGTTTATATTTCCCCTGCTATATTTTGATTCTCCATCCAATCTATTGGTGTTCTACTTTGCAATTCTGAACTTCGATCTTCAAATTTCTTGTCCTCCTTTCCTTTCATCCATGTTTCAGAGAGCTAATTTCTTCCCACTTCTCCTATTTCTTTCCACTATGTTCTCTTTTCTTTCTTTTTCTCATCTTCTAAATTTGCCAGAAGGTGCGTAGAGCTCTGACTCTGGTGTTTAAACCACCACCTTACTTGTGTGCCTTTGTTGGAACGGATGCCTCTGGTTTTTATCTGCTTCCCTATTAGTTTCTCTTGTGATGTGGTGGCGGATCGTTTGGTGTTGGTTCAAGGGTGATGGGGCTATGTGTTTTCTCTCCTTCCTGAGAATTTGTTTGATCGGAATCCAGGCTGCAAGATGATAGAGAATCTGAGATGTTATGGTGATGGTAGGCGTGTAAATTACTTGGGTTTTTTGGTTTGGATGGTGTTTTGGTTTGTATGGTTTTAAGGTCTCTGATCCTACTGTTCTCATGTTCTGACTTGGTGTATCTGGACCATTATGTATTTGTGCTTTGTTGGAATGGAATTTTTTCCTTTGACCAAAAAGAAAAAAAAAGGTAAATATCAGTTTACTACCCTCATGTTTCGTGGTTTTCAACATTTAGTACATAAAATTTTTTTTCATCCCAGAGTCATACCTAAAATGTAATTTTTGGGACAATCTCATATATCTGTTAGTCAAACTGTTAAGTCTTAACTGATGACATGGTGCCTATATGGATAATGATTGGGTGTCACGTGTTATTAAGGGTTCACGTGGAGTTTTATTTTATTTATTTTATTTTTTTGGAGAAGGAGTTAAAAAAAATTTCAAAAATTCAAAAAAAAAAAAAGGCCCTTCTTCTCCCTCCCTCATCCTTGCACCCTCTCCCTTCCTCATCCCCCCGCACCCCTCCCTTCTCTCTTCCCAAATCAACCTTCACCCACCCTAACCCAAACTACGCTGCCCCCGTCGCCTTCCTCACCACCGCACTGGAACCGAGCCCTCAACCTTTCCTCTTTCTCTTTCCTTAACGGCTCTACTCATTTTCGGACCAACGATAGAGATCTGCGATCACTTGACGCGTAATTTCACATCCCTAACCCTAATTTCTGATTCCCCATCTCCATCTCTTCGATTCGATTTGATTCGAGAGCAGCTAAAACGACGCTGCCGCGAGGGGTGATTTCAACCTTGCGCTCATCATCGTCACCATTGTTCTCTGCATCATCATCTTCGTCTTCAATGTCTACCTACTCGTCAATTATCATCTTCGTCTTCAATGACTGCCGGGTCGAACCTATAAGTGGACTTCCCCTCACAATCTGCATGCGTCCCACACTCGAGCACCCTTGGCAATGCCCATTGTAACCCCATTCCCGGTTCAGGCCACCGATCAACGGGCAAACCCTGATCCAAGTTCACGAAACTCGTGTACGCGTTGCAACCTTTCAGAACCCAACAACTACAACCAAAAGCTTGTTCTGCAGCAATGGAACAACATGAAAAATAGAAGCTGTGTACCGTAAAGAATCACTGATTGGTCGATGAAAGTTTTGGGATTATTCTGCTTGCTAATTGATAGATGCCTGCATTTTGTTAATCAGCCGACAAATTTGATGAAATTTTATAAAACTAGGGTTTGGTGGTTTGGTGCAAAGGAGATAATGGAGGGATAAGGGAGGAAAGAGGAGAGAAGGCAAGGTGGTGCAGGTTGTAGAAAAGAGAAGGGAGGGAAGGGGTGCAGGTTGCAGAAGAGAGAAAGGAGGGAGAGGGTGCGGGGGATGAGTGAGGGAGAAGACGGGTTGCCACATGGCGCCCAATCATTATCCACATAGGTGTCACATCATCAACTAATGGCAGACTTAACAGTTTGACTAACGGATGTATGAGACTGTCCCAAAATTAACACATTAGGTATGACTCTGGGACGAAATAAGCTTGATATACTAAATGTTGAAAACCACGAAACATGAGGGTAGTAAACTGATATTCACCAAAAAAAAAAAATCCTACAGCCGGGTTGCCACCCATATGTGAACCCTAACCCAAAACGAAAAACAAATAAACCAAGGGTGAAATGAATGACATGTCGGAAGTGTCAATGACATCGGTGGAAGCAACGATATTCACTAATGTAGTTGTTAGTGTCATTCATATTCGGTAGATGTTGATATGTTATCAATATTGTTGATATGATGTCTATATTTAGCACCAATACCTCAATATAACATTTGATATTCGATTGAGATATCATCATTCATGTTGTTCAAGCCATTTCATGTATTATAACACATCACTTTCAACCCGCTTGTACCGTACCTTAATTTTAACATTTCAGCTGTGTAATTTTAACCAGACGGCTGAAAGGTAAGAAAATAGGACGTTGAACTTTGAAAGTTGAGCTGCAGTCCACGACATTTTAAACGTGTGGTCATCATTGCGGAGGATTCCGTGGTTGTTGACGTTACATATATAACTCAACATTCCCTGGGATTTGTCAAAACAGTAGAATTTCCAAAACATGTTTGGTACACTGTCCTTTCCAGTCCACGTTTTCTATCGAATATCCTTTTTACGTAGCACACTATTTTCTTTCTGTGAAAATGCTATTTGCTCGAATTCCAAATGTCTGCAGGAAAAAAGAGGTATGCACTATGCAGAAGGTTTGGGCCAAATAAGATTTTAATTGTTTATTCCTTTATTCAAGCGATATTCTAATTTAATTAGTGAAAAGAAATAGAAGCACACGACAAGAAAGACTGAAGTTTGGAGAACTATTTCAACAATTTTTACGTTGTAAAGCAAAACCACAGCGGAGGATGAGGGGACTCACAATCTCCTGCAAGTTAACAAAAATAAAGAAAATGGAAATTTGAAAGTTGGAAATTAGTAGCTTTTAAGTTTAAGCTCCAGATATAGTAATACTACTCGAGTAGCCACGCCTTGAATCCGAAGCAGTACTGGAATAAATGTTATGGTAATGTATGGACTCGACTAGACTCTTTGAAAACCGGTCGAGGAACTGTGGGATAGGAGGTATGCCGAGATCTATGACTCCTTCCAGAAGTTGATCAACTTGCCCCATTGTCCGCCTATCGTTCTCGTCATCTTGAATGCACCAACAAGATACTTTGCATGCTCTCATCACTTCTTCTTTGTTTGCATTACCTTCTAACCTGCAATCCAACAAGGTATCGACATCTTCTCCTTTCGTTAATACATTTGCAACGCGAGTGGGGAACTAGTTTTGCAATCCATCATCCAAAAGATCTCTGTTTCTCCTTCCTGATATGATCTCAAAACACAACATTCCGTAGCTAAAGACATCGGCTTTTGCTGTGATAGCTTCTCCTGATATCCATTCCGGAGCAATATACCCTCTTGTCCTTGCATGGTTGTAATTATCCGGCTGAAGTCTCTGCTCACGAGCTTTGCAAGACCAAAATCAGCTATTTTGGGGGCATATTCTGCATCCAACAGAATGTTTTCAGGTTTGATGTCACAGTGTATGATGCATTTTCTGCAACTATGATGAAGATATGCAAGTCCTCTTGCAGTCCCAACTGCAATGTGATATCCAGTTTTCCAATTCAAGACGATCGGACTCTTCTGGAACAAAAGAGATTCTAGAGAACCATTTGGCATGTAATCATAAACCAAGAATCTTTTTGAAGTTTCTGCACAAAATCCGTGGTGTGGAGCCAAAAATAATCACAAGGCAACAGTAGATTTTTTAGTAAAAGAGGACCAAACTACCCTTGAGGCACACCGAGATTCCTACACGCGAGCAGCTCAAAAATGCTCCAAAGAGGTAACAATTCAATATTCGTCTCATCAAATTCCCTTTTTTGCAAAGTAACCTCCAAAATAATATTAATTGGTAAATTAATAGATTAATTACCCAATTAATCCATTAATTACCTATTAAATTATACAATTTAACCTAAAAATTGTTAAAGCTTGTTCAAGGAATTGGTATGCGTAAACTTTCTGAGTTGTAACATTGCTAGTTCTTTTTGGAATTGTTAAAGGGCCGGCCACTTCCTTTTCATCCTCACCTTTCTCACTTTTCTCCATTTTATTACCCCATTTATACAAATAAATAATTTTGTAACCTCCCATTTACTTCTTTCATACTTAATTAGCCAATAAATTGGCTAATTAAGCCAAGACCATAACCACAAAATCCCTTGAAAAACCGGCCACTCCTAGCCCTATAAATAGGCTCCTATTTTCACCAAACACTCATTCCAACACTTTGGCAAAAATCCAAAAAAACTCTCCAAATACTTTTCTCTCTAAATTCTAATTTGGCATCGGAAGTTCTTCGGCCAAAGCCCCCCCATTTATCGTGGGCGCGTGAGGCTCTTGGCCTTGACCTAAGGTGTTAATTGTTTTGTAAGTGCAATTTTGTCCAAGAAGAAGAAGAAGGCGGAAATTTGCATCCACAAACTGGTGCTTTCATTGAGAGTTGAGATTCACACTCGTAGAAGACCCTAGCGCAAAAAGTTTTTGCTCTATTTTCTCGATTTTCTAGTCCACTTGTATTTTTCGTACGTTCTTATTATTAGAATTTTTAATTTGCCAAGATTCTTTGATAAAACGTAAAAGAGAAATACAATGGCTAGAAATTTAGAAAATTCAACAAGTGAAAATTCCAATATTCAAGAAATGGGACCGGGGCGATCCACGAGACTAAACGTGATCTTAGGAGGAGCGACACTACAACCACAAGGCTCCACCATGGCAACCACCGAGGTGGCCACCATGGCAATCACCCGCGGCGAGGTCCATGGCTCCACCACTACGGCCCAAGCCATGCTATCCAAGGCCCACGCCACCAAAGCCACGACCCGAACCATGTCACTCCATGCCCAACGTGAGCCCAATGTGTTTCCAATTCGAGCCCAAGCCTCGCATTCACATGCACCACGCATTGAGCAGCCTGCTCTCGTGACCCAACCTGCTTCTGTAATCCAACCTGCTTCTGCAGCCCTACCTGCTCCCGCGACCCACCTGCTCTCGTAATCCAGCCTGCTCCCGCAGACCTGCCTCTCATGGTTTCCCAAGCAGCTCATGTTGGCCCAAGAATATCTCAACTATCCGGAGTAACCATCAAGCCGGGGGCATTTTCACCATATTTCTCTGCGGATTTGACATTTCCCAATTCAAATCTTGCACCCGGAGTCTACCACACTTCCATTGCTCAAAGAGGCACATTCCTTCCAAGCTCTTCCAATCCAAATGGCGAACAACACTTGTCTCGACAAGTCATAGAGTTGACGAGCACCCATGCACAACAGACAACCTTGGTGAATTAACTCTTGCAACGCACCGAGATCCAACATGCCCTGGACGAGGTGTCCCTAAGTAGGATAAAGGCAGATGAACCTCTCCATCAGCGTCCCAACAAACAGCCTATCAACCAGCCATGATCCGAACGTTTTCGTAGTTTACGCTCCCGCTTAGGTCCTTGGGATAGCGTATACTCTTGTCTTAGTGCGCGGAGGAATGTGGATTCCTAATCAAGCCCACGGGCGAGCATACGTTCACGGTTGAGGTCACACTCCGATTATCAACATGGACAACCTTACAGAAATGTTCATTCACAACTAGGCTCGCAAGGAGCATTCTCCACCTCACATCGGAGTAGACAGCACGGCAGAAGGAGAGAAGCAATCACTTAATCTGACTCAAGTTCAATCGGCAGCCTGCGAACGGCCCGTTCGCTTGCCAGATACATGCCACATGCACCACAGCTACGACATGGAGGAGTCGAGCATAGGGAAGAACGGCCTAAACCCATAGGTCAAGACCAGGGGCAGTCGAAAATTCCATTACCCCAGCAGAGGCAAATTCAAGAAGAAATTGATAGGCTCCTAACTGAACGACTGCACAATTTCCAATGAAACGAGGCTACTGACGATGCGCTTCGACGAGACATAACCAATATAAGCATGTCACCATTCACGAATGAGATCGAGTAGATAGATCCACCTCACGGGTTCACTATGCCTCACTTCATTCCGTACAAGGGAGACAAGATCCGGATCGACATCTCAAGTATTACCGCAGTACCATGATCATCTACAGGAACAACGATGCGTTTATGTGCAAAAATTTTACCACAACTCTACAAGGCGATGCACAAGACTGGTTTCACACTCTACCGCCGCAGTTGATCCGAAGTTTTAACGAACTTTCCTTTGTTTTCACTAAGGAGTATTCGTCTAACCGCTCAATCAAAAGGACATCCGACCATCTCTTCAGCATCGTAAAAGACCCTCAGGGAGACAATTCATGACTATGTCAAGAGGTTCAAAGTGGAGAATGCCAAGATTGTTGGCTGCAACAAAGACATAGCAACGACAGCATTCAGAAATGGGCTTCCCACCGAACATCCTTTATTCGAAAAATTAATCATGGGAGAAGAATTAACCCTAGCAACTTCGTATGCTTTGGCAGAAAAGCATGCATTATGGGATGAGGCCAAGCAGTCTAACAAAAACAAGTCGGAAAAGAAGCACATGGAACGTTCCCTGACCAGAGAAGACTCAGCGCTTGAAACATTCACCAAGTTCACAGTTCCAATCGACCAAATTCTCTGCAAGCTTAAGAATGAACCTTGGTTCGAACTGCCGCCACCCATGAAAGGCGATCTTACCAGGCTGGATCATACAAAATATTGCGCATTCCATCAAGGACCAGGCCACACTACCAACGGCTACCTGAAGTGGAAGCAATACCTTGAGAAGCTGACAAATGAGGGTCGATGCGACGAGTATCTTGACAGGTCAACAAAACGGCCTACACAAGCAGGGGAAGTTCCCATCACCCCCTGAACCACGTTTGGATTTTTTCCAAATAAGTTCGAAGACTCAAGCAACTCGACGAACAAGGCTTCACAAGCCGAAGAATTTCCAGTTTGTTATGCAATTTCTACCTTCCAGCACAGTTGATTTATTTCTTTATTCTCAATGAAGATTCAAGAAGTTATTCATAAGTCTGGCTCAACTGCTGTCCATAACAACTGCTCAAAACCCTTTACGGGTCTGCTCTCCAGTGCGAGAGGTTAAACTAATTGCTCTCCAGTGCGATAGGGTAAACCAATTCCCCGACACCCAAAAAGGTCTGCTCTCCAGTATAAGAGGGTAAACTAATTGCTCTCCAGCGCGAGAGATTAAACTAATTGCTCTTCAATGCAAAAGGGTAAACCAAATCCCCGACACCCAAAAGGGTATGTTCTCCAGTACGAGAGGGTAAACTAATTGCTCTCCAGTGTGAGAAGGTAAACCAATTCCCCGACACCCAAACGGGTCTGCTCTCCAACGCAAGAGGTTAAACTAATTGCTCTCCAGTGTGAGAGGGTAAACCAATTGCTCTCAAGTACGAGAGGGTAAACTAATTGCTCTCCAGTGCGATAGGGTAAACTAAATCCCTGACACCCATCTGGGTAAACTTTCCAATGCGAGAAGGCCACATAGTTCAAAAAATCGAATGCTTAAATATCAATTAAGTAACAAATGGTTAGGGAGCAGCAGCCATTTTTACACATAACAGTTCGCTCATCCGACACTTCATCTTCAGCAACTTCGATCTTGGCAGCTTCATCATTGACTGCTCCATCTACGGCAGCTGAGAAATCAAACTCAAGCAGTTTCCTCATTTTTGGCAAGCAGCCCAGATGTGGTAGCCTAAACCGTTGTCCATGCCACGCCACTTCCTCGACTCATGCTGAGCCAATCCTTGGCTTCAATCAAGCTGAGCAACACAAACAATGGTCCCTGCCACACCACCTCCTTGGCCCATGCCAAGCCGACTCCTGGCCCCTGCTAGCCGATGTGCCGTACCGCCTCGACGGTTGCCCCGTGGCAGCACCTCCCAAGAAGAAGATAAGGAGAATTAAGTTTTCCTTACATCGGTGTGGCGCAGAGAAAAACAAAGAAAGCAACGAAAGACGGTCATTTGCACGGACAAGATGTAGAAGATTGCTAGAGGAGGAGGAACAAATATCCTCTAAGCTTTCTCTCTCTTGTATGGTAGAATAAATCGCTCTCCAAAGTTGATTTAACAACCCATTTAAGGTGGACTTAAATAGGCTTTGAGAGAAATTTATTTCCCTTTCCTAGAAGGATCTAATTTCACATTAAAGAGGGAATCTACATCAAAATAGGAAGCAGTCCTAAGTTTCCTAAAGCAAGAAGATCTCTACACCTGCTGCCCTTTCCTACGAGCAGCCCAGCAGGTGTGGGGGGATTTGTGGAGCCATAAATAATCACAAGGCGACACGTGAATTTTTTTAGTAAAAAAAGACCAAACTACCCTTGAGGCACACCGGGATTCCTACACGTGAGCAGCTCAAAAATGCTCCAAAGAAGTAACAATTCAATATTCATCTCATCAAATTCCCTTTTTTGCAAAGTAACCTCCAAAATAATATTAATTGGTAAATTAATAGATTAATTACCCAATTAATCCATTAATTACCTATTAAATTATACAATTTAACCTAAAAATTGGTAAAGGGCCGGCCACTTCCTTTTCATCCTCACCTTTCTCACTTTTCTCCATTTTATTACCCCATTTATACAAATAAATAATTTTGTAACTCCCATTTACTTCTTTGATACTTAATTAGCCAAAACCATAACCACAAAATCCCTTGAAAAACTGGCCACTCCTAGCCCTATAAATAGGCTCCTATTTTCAACAAACACTCATTCCAACACTTTGGCAAAAATCCAAAAAAACTCTCCAAATATTTTTCTCTCTAAATTCTAACTTTGACATCGAAGGTTCTTCGGCCAAAGCCCCTATTCATCGTGGACGCGTGAGGCTTTTGGCCTTGATCTAATGTGTTAATTGTTTTGTAGGTACAATTTTGTCCAAGAAGAAGAAGGCGGAAATTTGCATCCACACGTGGAGACGAACAAGATTAATGTGCTGGACCTTTCCAACAGTCATCACTTCTGTAAGAAATTGCTTATTTACTTGCTTTGGATAGTTAAGCCTCTTCACTGCGATGGCGGTATAACTCTTCAGTGTCCCTCTAAAAACAGAACCAAAGCCTCATTCCCCAAGTTTTTCAGTGAAGTTCTTGGTTGCGTTTCTTAGAACCCAGTACTTAAACATTGTCAAAGAGCCTTCATCTGCCTCAGACCTTTCCCCAGAACCGGAACATTCATTCTTGGCAATTACCACAATAATCAGTAAAACACCACACAAACCTCCAAGTACTCCAATGACAATCCAAAAGGTTTTATTCTCTCTCTTTGCCTTTGGTTCCTCTGATGCTGCAACCCGAAGATGCAACTTTTTGCCGACTGTCTCATCAGATGTAAGTTGTTTTACATTGAACAAATCCCTTTTCCAAACCAAACACCCATTATCATAAGCAAACGATGTACACGAGCAATCACTCAAGCACGCCGATCTACACTCATCGATGTTCTTACCTGCTAAAGTCTCGGGATTCTCAAGGAAGCGCAAATCGGGTATCACCACAAATGTGTCATTTCCTCCACTGCTTGCACTGCATTCTAAAAGGGTTTTCCTCACGCACTCTTCCGTGTGATCCTCCAAGTCCCAGTCTTTTGGAGCTTGCAGTTCAAACCCTTCCAAGCATACACAAAGAGGCACTTGTTGCTGGTTACAAATACTAGAAGCACCGCCGAATCCATATACCTCGCAACGTTCGGAGGGTCGCAACCAAAATGAAGTCCACTGATTATAGTCTTTCCCCCACTTGTAGGCCCTAAACTGCCCGGAGATATCAAGCATGTACCGGATAAAGATGTCGGGGAAAACAGCATCATAAGAAACATAACTCCCAAATTCATCGGAGTTATAGCTGACATTCGTGACCAAATAATTCAACTGAATTTCCGGAACATACTAAAAAATCTTGCATGTCTAAGGCCCGCTGGTCCAATACATTTTAGTCCCATTATACATCAATAGAAAACTTGTTCCGTTTCGTTCGATCTCTAGAGAGAAAATCCCAGGTGCTAGGTTTTGTGAGCTTCTCCAGGGAGTGAGGGTTAGTTTCTCATTGGTCAGCTTGTTGTATCCAAGCTGTTAGTGTATAAGCTATTGAGCTTACTTTGAAATTAGAAGTAAATAAGCCTTGTATTTAATTGTGTATTCACTTTGGTAATTTCACCAAGTGTAGGGCTCATATTGTAAAAGGGTTTTAGTAACAGGTGTAATGTTCTCTTTGTATCCATCTAGATGTGTGGCTGAGATCATCTTTTCTGATATACTTTGTAACCCAACCGGTGTGCACAATGTGTGTGCGTGAAGGAATACATTTATAGATTTCTCTCTTTGAAAGTTAGTACAGAGAGCACCACCATCAAAATCTTCTCTCCATTGCTTTGATATGTTTTTCATTCCTATTCCTACTCCTCCTTCATCTACAAAATAACTAACAAAACTTTAACATGGCCTCAGAGCCAGGTTCGATCATTTGAGATCTGGGCGTAAAACCAATCGAGCTACACTCGAGCTTGTTCCGGATTGGGTGACGTTGCTGGAATTTCATAAAACCCGATTTTGATTTGTATTCGCATCATCAAAGCTCGAAGATGGTTGGATCTGGAAGTTCTGAGGTGAGAACTCCGATCTTCTCCGGTGAGAACTACGAGTTCTGGAGAATCAAGATGGTGACGATTTTCAAATCTCATGGGTTATGGAAATTTGTAGAAAAAGGTGTTACGGTTTCAAATTCAAAGAAGGAAAAGACTGAAGGAAGCTTAGGAGAAGAAGACGATAAGAAAACTGTTGCTACATATATGCAGGATGCAAAAGCTCTGGGTATTATTCAGAACGCAGTCTCAGATCAGATATTCCTTCGGATAGCTAATTCAGATTCTGCGAAGGTGGCATGTGATCTGTTATATGGCGAGTACCATGGTGGTGATCAGGTAAGATCTGTGAAACTACAAAATCTGAAACGTGAATTTGAGTATGCTAGGATGCGGGATGATGAAAGTATGTCTAGGTATCTTACTAGGCTAAATGAATTGATTAATCATATGAAAACATTTGGTGAGATTCTGTCTAATGAAAGGCTTGTACATAAAGTTCTGATTAGTCTTAGTACACCATATGATCCCATATGTCTAGTTATCGAAAATACCAAGTGCTTAGAGACAGTAGAATTGCAGGAAGTTGTAGCAATTTTGAAGAGTCAAGAACAACGATTTGATTTGCATAGTGTTGATACCACTGAAAGGGCTTTTGCCTCACTCTCTGTGACTCAAAAAGGGCAAACCAGTAGTAATGCTTAGTCTGGTACATTCAAATCATATAAGCACTTGAATTCGAAGGGAAAGAAATAGGAGTCTAAGTCTAAGTTTCAACAAAGGTAATTCACTAATCCTACACAGAATTCAACTTCTTCTGGGTATATGAAGCAAGATACAGCTAAACCACAGTGTAAAGTGTGTTCTAAATTTCATTTTGGTGAATGTAGGTATAAGGGGAAGCCTAAATGTTATAATTGTGATAAGTTTGGACATTGGGCCAGGGAATGCATAGTAGGCAACGTCATTCAAAAGGCAAACTGTGCCAATCAAACAGAAGTCACTGGAAATCTGTTTTATGCCAACAGTGCAATTTCTGAAAACAAAATGAATGGAAACTGGTATATTGATAGTAGGTGCAGCAGTCATATGACAGGGAATGCAGATCTTCTTGTCAATATAAGAACTAATGTTGCTGGAAAGGTTCAAATGCCCACTAGTGAATTGGTAAATGTTATAGGAATGGGTTCTTTGGAAATTGATACAAATAAAGGAAAGAAGTACATCAGGGAAGTCATGTATTTGCCCGGGTTGAAAGAAAACTTACTAAGTGTGGGGCAAATGGATGAGCATGGATACTACCTATTATTTGGAGGAAACATGTGCAGTGTGTATGATGGACCTTCACTGGAGAATCTTGTCATCAAAGTAAGGAAGAAGGAAAATAGGTGTTATCCTCTCTCCCTATTGAAAAATACTCAGCTTGCTCTGAATGCTAGTATTGGTCCAGATTCTACCTAGATTTGGCACAAGAGATTAGGGCATCTAAATCTCAGGAGCCTTAAACAACTTAGGGAGCATAAAATGGTGCATGGTTTTCCACAACTTGAAGATACTAAGGGTGCATGTGAAGGGTGCCAGTTGGGAAAACAACATCGTTACTGGTTTCCAAAAGAACAAGCTTGGAGAGCAAGTAACCCCCTAGAGCTGATACATACTGATCTGTGTGGCCCTATGCAAACTGAATCAGTTGCTGGAAATAAGTATTTTATGCTTCTAATTGATGATCATATCAGAATGTCGTGGGTCTATTTTCTGAGACAAAATCTGAGGCTCTAACCTGTTTCAAGAAATTTAGAGCTATGGTGGAATTACAAAAGGGTCTCAAAATAAAGTGCCTAAGAAGTGACAGAGGAGGAGAGTTTGTGTCAAATGAATTCAATGAATTCTTAGATATTGAAGGGATTCAAAGACAACTATCTATGGCCTATACTTCACAGCAAAATGGAGTAGTGGAGAGGAAGAATAGAACGGTTGTAGAAATGGCTAAGGCAATGCTTCATGATAAAAGCATGCCATACTTTCTGTGGGCAGAAGCAGTACACACAACTGTGTACATTTTGAACAGATCACCTACAAAAGCACTCAATAATTTAAAACCATTTGAGGCTTACAGTGGCAGAAAACCAGGGGTTGGTCATCTAAAGGTGTTTGGATCAGTATGCTATGTACATGTACCATCTAAGACAAGACAAAAGTTGAATGCTAAGAGTGTTAAAGGTGTCTTTGTTGGATATGCTACATGTGAGAAGGGATATAGAGCACTTGATCCATGTACTAAGAAACTAATCATGTCAAGGGATGTAGTTTTTGATAAGACAATGACATGGACTTGGAAGGAAAGTTCAGAGAAGGCTGTAGCTGTGATTTACATTCAGAATCATTCTAAAAATCAAACTACTATGAATGCAAATGAGTTGAGGGAAGCTGAAGAAAGTCCTTCTGATTCTAGTGCACTATTCTATATTGAGGAACCAGAATGTAGCACTCATGAATCTGTGCAGATTTCTCAGTCATTTGATCACACCCCAGTAAAATGGAGAAACATAAATGATATTATGGCACAGTGCAATCTCTGTATTGTGGAACCTGAAAAATTCGAAGAAGCTGCATAAGATCATGCTTGGGTAAAAGCTATGGAAGAAGAATTGTCCATGATTGAGAAGAATAGGACTTGGGAATTGGTAGATAGACCAAGTGATAAACATGTTATTGGAGTGAAATGGGTATTCCAAACAAAGTTGAACTTGGATGGTTCAGTACAAAAGAACAAGGCAAGACTAGTTGCCAAGGGGTATGTGCAGAAACCAGGAATTGACTACAATGAGACTTTTCCCCCAGTTGCAAGATTGGACACAATCCGAACTTTGATAGCTCTTGCTGCACAGAGAAGCTGGAAATTATATCAACTTGATGTTAAATCTGCATTTTTTAATGGAAAATTGCAGGAAGAAATCTATGTTGAACAACCTGAGGGATTTGTGATTGATGACAAAGAGGATAAAGTCTACAGACTGTATAAGGCTTTGTATGGGTTAAAGCATGCACCTAGAGCCTGGTATGGGGAGATTGATAGTTACTTCACTCAGTGTGGGTTCATAAAGAGCTCAAGTGAAGTAACTCTCTATACTAAGACAATGGGAGATAAGGATATTCTAATTGTCTCTATCTATGTTGATGACATAGTATACACTGGGAATAATCAGGAGATGCTGAATGAGTTCAAAGAAAACATGAAAGTTAAATATGAAATGACAGACCTCGGGTTACTTCATCATTTTCTGAGGATGGGAGTAATACAAACAGATACAAATATCTTTATTCACTAAAGGAAGTATGCTTCTTCCTTATTGGATAAATTTGGTCTAAATGAGTGCAAACCTGTTTCCATACCTCTCATTGCTATTGAAAAATTAAACAAGGATGATGGGAGTGGTGTAGCAAATGAGGAGCAGTATAGGAAATTTGTTGGAAGTCTGTTGTACCTTACTGCCACAAGGCCAGATGTAATGTATGCAGCTAGTTTACTAGCCAGATATATGCACTGTCCTACAAATAAACACTATGGAATAGCTAAGAGAGTGCTTAGATATGTTAGAGGAACATTGGACTATGGCTTGAAGTATGAGAAAGGCAAGAAGGCAGTCTTGGTTGGTTTTTACGATAGTGACTGAGGAGGATCACTTGAAGACAGCAAAAGCACTTCAGGCTATGCCTTCTCCTTTGAAGTGGAGTGTTCTCATGGGCCTCTGTGAAACAAAACTGTGTTGCTCTTTCTACTGCAGAAGCCGAGTACATAAGTGCTTCTGAAGCCACAGCTCAGGCCATATGGCTCAGATTCGTCCTGGACGATTTTGGAGAGCTACAAGTAGATGCAACTCCCTTGCAATGTGACAACACATCTGCAATCTCAATAGCTAAGAACCCCGTGTTTCATCAGAGGACAAAACACATCGACAAGCGATATCACTTCATCAAGGATGCCTTGCAACAAGGGATAGTTGATTTGGTCTACTGTCCTACCAAAGAACAAGTGGCAGACATCTTCACCAAAGCCTTGCCGAATGAGAGATTCAACTATCTCAGGAACAAACTTGGAGTTATATCAGCTCAAAGCTTAAAGGTGAGTGTTAGTGTATAAGCTATTGAGCTTACTTTGAAATTAGAAGTAAATAAGCCTTGTATTTAATTGTGTATTCACTTTGGTAATTTCACCAAGTGTAGGGCTCATATTGTAAAAGGGTTTTAGTAACAGGTGTAAGGATCTCTTTGTATCCATCTAGATGTGTGGTTGAGATCATCTTTTCTAATATACTTTGTAACCCATCCGGTGTGCACAGTGTGTGTGCGTGAAGGAATACATTTATAGATTTCTCTCTCTGAAAGTTAGTATAGAGAGCACCACCATCAAAATCTTCTCTCCATTGCTTTGATCTGTTTTTCATTCCTATTCCTACTCCTCCTTCATCTACAAAATAACTAACAGAACCTTAACACAAGCTTCCCGCCCGGCAGCCAAGTGTCGGTCGGGTGATCGAAACTCTGCCATATGACAGCAGACGAATTCAAAGCATCTGTTATGACAACGTTGCCATTGTCAAGAAGCACTGCTGCTACTTCACTGGTAGAATTAGAAGCAACTGAGAGATCCCGAGTTGTTGACCAAATGGAAGATTTGGATTGGTCGAGCAGTATTAAGGTTCCGTTTGGGAAGAGTTGAAGGGAGGAAGAAAATGGACAGGAAACAGGGTGGTTTCTGTTGGCCACCCAAACAACGGTTTTTTGTAGTTTTTGTACCAGATGCCTATGTAGTGGTTGTGGGAGTTACCTGGAGTGAAGAAACAAAGCTCGAATATGCCGCGTGGTGACGAGCTGATTGTTTGGTTGCCGGAAATAGATTGGTCTTGGGAGATGATGTTGCCAGATGCCGTCGACACATGGGCGGCTTTCAAGTTCAAGCATAACACAAGAACCACAACTGATGACATGTAACTGAGTTTGTTCCTGCTGCTATTCATCATATTAATCTCTTCATAAACGGCAAGAACCTCTATATCTCTCTCTAAGAGTAGGACTGAAGCTTTACCCCTCTCTCTCTCAAATGTTCTAGCCACCTTTTTGTTAAAAAAACTCAGGAGAGGGATAGATATTTGTTCTCTCGGACATTGCTCTGTTGTGTTACAATATGGACTAGTTTTGTGGTCAACCGTTTTTCAAAGACAAGATCCCTATATTCTCACAATGTTAGGTTACCGTCCAGGATGAAGGGTGGTGATTGATTCCACCCCCCACCCCCCACCCCCAACCATTCTTTTGTCTACATCTGAAATTAAAAAAGGAAAAGAAGAAGAAAAGATGCAGATGCTCTCCCCATTTTCCATCCCATTTCTTTCTTCACCTTTTGTTTTTTACTTTTTTTGGTCTCCTGCTCCAACGCAGAATATATAGGAGCAAGGTGGACGATGGGATGTGATTAAAAGGCTCCTAATTGATGGAGCAGTTCAACTCATCTTGTCTTTAGTGGATAATTATATTTAGTGGATACATTTATTCCTTATCTTCCACTATTATTTGGAGTTTTCTTATCTTATAACTTAGGTTTTCTTTTTTTGGTTAGGAATGATATGTACAAGAAATCTTAAAAAAAGTGGTGAAATTAAATATAATTTATATTGTAAGTGGTTTATAGTTCAATTGGTTAAGAGCATTCGCTCATGCATGCAGTCGAGGTTTCATGTTTGAATCTTATTTATGTAGTTTAAATAAATTTAATGTAAATTATCCTCTCATTTGTCAACAAAAAAACTATGGGATGTGATGGATCAAGATCCTCTCTTGAGTTTAAGAGGCTGAGCCTCACCTATCAGACCATTAAAATTTGATCAAACGACTACAAACAAGAGGTCATGTTGGCTTTATAATAAAATCGTCAGTCACACTTGCCATGTTGACTTTATAGTTCGAATTCATTTGATTTAAATCTCAGGTCAACAAAACAACTCATTGTATCATTTATCATATTTACTTTGATCCAAATAATTTAGTAAATAATCTCAACTTGAATTGGGCTATGAGTCATTCTCCTTTTTAATTCAATTTCTCGATTTCTAATTATGGATTGATAGACATAGCATAACTCTACTCTAGTCGTGAGCCATCAGCATCATATGTCAATTTCCTTCTTAATTCAGTTCCTTCAATTTTAATTACAAAATAATGAAGATAACATAACTCTAGTCGTGATCCGTAGCATCTGTCAATTTGTACTGTCCACTCAGAGCAACAAGAGACTCTAGATCGGCCCTCGATGTATTTTATCTTATGTCTACAGTTCTTTATGCTCAAGGAGTTCCAACTTCCAATGTAAAAATAGTTTTTACCCAAATATTTCACAACAAAATATAAAATAAAAAAGGAATTACCTAATAAAACAACAGCTACGACGCCTAATTTGAATTAAA